TGCGATTGCAAACAAAAAAACTAAAAATGCCAAACACCTGTATATTGTTTGGTTACTTATGGTTAAGGTTAGGGCTGGGTAGGGGTTAAGGTTAAGTCCTCGTCTCTGTCTCCCACACGTGACCTCGCATCAGCTCGCTGCAGCAGGCGTCTGCCCAGATCGATTGCCTCACGTCAGCCGCACGCTGCTCTTTCTCACCCCGCCGCAGCACGACCTGCGTCATGTGGCCTTTCACGTGTCCCACGCGCCCTTGTCCTTCACTGCGGCAGATCGGGTTCTCCAGCAGAGGTAGGAAATCCAAGGATCCGTCCGGGACCCCGGTGTTCCTGAGACGGGCTCCCCAGCCGGCCGTGAGAGCGCTGCTTGCCCTGGACAGTCCGTCCTGCCCGCCCACGCGTCGTCGTCGTCTTCGTCCTGCCCGCCCGCGCGTCGTCGTCGTCGTCCTCCCCGCCCGTGCGTCGTCGTCGTCCTGCCCGCCCGCGCGTCGTCGTCGTCGTCCTGCCTGCCCGCGCGTCGTCGTCGTCCTGTGAGCGTGGAGAAAGCTGAGGGACAGAGTGTTTCACCTGGTGACAGTGTTCGGAAACCTCGGATCAAATGTATGTGTCCGTGTATGTGATGATGTTTTCGTGCGGTCGGGGGTCCAGGGTGAAGGTGCCTTACTGAACCCCGGGCCAGTGCGGGAGCTCCGTGTAGCTCTGAGTCTCTCTGGATGTGTGGATCTATGTGTCTGGGGAGGTTCAGCTCTCCTCTGCCTGTAGGTCGCGGTAGCAGATCTGCATTTCCAGCCTGGTTAGAAAGCGATGGGACGTGGGTGGGGGCGGGGATAGGGTGAGGGTGTGGTCAGTGGTGGACCTTCTGGGGCCTCCGGGGTGGTCACTCTGCCCTCTATGGGTGCTACAGGATGTGTGGGGGGGGGTGGCTTCACCATCCCAACGGAATGTGACACAGGCACAAAGGCGTGTTTGTGCGTGTGGGTGTGTGTCCGTCTCGGCTCACCGCGGTAACACGCCGGTGAGGTTCGCTGCAGGTGACGAGGCCGGCAGAACCACTTGGACGAGTTGGGTGGAAGACATGAAAGAGGAGAAGTGCGGTGAGCAAGCAGAGGCCCAGAACCGAGACTCTGCGCCGCGGAAACAGATCGGGTTCCTGAAGGGCGTACAAGCTGAAGCGTCCGGGTTCGAGTCAAAAAAGGAAGGTGTGACTGTGAATCAGCACCTGCAGAGAGAATAAATAGGCTCCACCCTCACAGCTTAATGCCCCCCCTGAATTGTGGGAGGATCCAGGTGGTGCTGCCTGGACTTAAATAACCTTTCAGTAGATGGTTCTATACCTGTTACTTAAGAATCAGAGTTATCTGCTGTATAAATTGTAAAAACACCATATGATTATTGGTGTGTTTAATTCTCTCTTCCTCACTCATTTTTATCTTTAACTGAATATAGCGCCATCTACCTTAGATAAAATCCTTTAATTTGATATCTAAAGGGATGGACACCTGCTGTGACAGTAGTTCATGTTTGGTTGTAGGGCATCGCATGAGTGATGGATGATCTGATGAGAAACGGGGCTGGTTTAGGGCTCTACAGTGACCCGCTCCTTGTGGCTGGGTTGTCATCGTCACAGTCATTGCTGTCAGCCTCCAAACCTGGAATGGCTTCTGGATTTTTTGAGTTTGCTTCTTTGTGATCGGTCACAGCTTCCCCTCGGTGTCCCCCCCCCCACCCCAACCCCGCAGTCAAGGACATGATTTCCTTCGTCCTCACATGGACGCGATGCAAACAGAGTGAGGCAGAGTAAATGGTGTGTTTCGGCAGAGTAAATTACCTTTGTTGTTTTTCCACAAAAGCCAAATGAATCATTTCAGCTGTGGTGCTTCAAAAACTCACATTCTCACCAACCCCCCCCCCCCCCCCCCGACCAGCAGCCGTGGTGAAAACATTCCCAAAACCCTGTCGGTTTTTTATTTTTCTCATTCCATGGCAACGTGCTGGAAGTGATGCTCATCTGTGCTGGAACTAGGCAGTAATGTTCTATTTTTGGTCAGCTTGGAAGCTCAGGAAGTCAGAGAGCATAAAACATGATGTTTCTCTAGCTACTGGGGGGTTATCAGACCTCGGTGGCGGCACCTCCTACTCTTTAAGGGGGTTTGGCTGAACTCCCAGCTCCGGAGCTCCTCGTCTGCTCTGTGAAGTCACAGCCGACTCTGCTGCTGTTTCTCTGCTGTAGAATGTAGACCTTGCAGACCTGGGCCACAGCCATGGTCTCCTGATCTGTGTCATTGCTGCATTGTGACACTGTCAATGTATGACATAATTTCAGATTAAGCTGTTTTTGGAATAGATCACATGAGGCACATCAGGTGTGGGAGTTACTGTCTTATTGCACCTTTATCATTTCAGTGATTAGACATTAGACATTTGAGAAATTTCAGTGTGCAGCTTGGCCAGAGTAGTTTTTGGTGGATTATTTGCCTTGTATAGAAGCTTATTTGCTGGTTCTGTCTGCTGTGGTCCCAGCGTGGGTTAAAAAAAACATTCCTCAGAGGCCAATGGTAGACTCCCACTTGCTGGGACCAGAGGAGACCATGAGTGTTTCTACTCTGCCACCTACGAGTGGCGCTATGTGAGAGGTCAGTTAGCCCCTGGGTCATAGTGACTGTCATTGTCAAGTGCAGCTGCGAAATGGCTCTTTAATGAATGGATCTGTGGGTGTCTTTCTTTGCTTTCACAATCGACTGCTCTGAACTTCCTTCTGCTCTAACCTCTTGCTGAGGTCCAAAGGACAGGCAGGCTGAGTGTAAAGGCTGTTACATCTCAGCTCTCCCATTTCTCCTCCTCTGGGCTCCATGACAGATCTCCAGTCAGGATCTTCTGGGGGGCGTGTCCCCATCTTGTGTGTTCCCTGTGCGTGTGGCTCAGATATACATTATATTGTCCCCACAATGTGATTAAAAACCTGTTACTTAGACGTTGTGGAGATATTTTTTTTTCCCGATTTTCATAACAATCTTTGATTGCAATCAAAAAACTGAAAATGGTTACTTGTGGTTAAAGTTAGGGCTTGGTAGGGGTTAAGGTTTTGAAATTTAGGATTAGGGTTAAGTCCATTGAAATGAAAGTCCCCACTAAGATATAGATATCTAATCTGTGTGTGTGTGTGTGTGTGTGTGTGTG